TGCAAGGGCCCGCCTCCGTTCTCAACCTCTCTCGTGGGCACGCACACTCGCGGCCGCGTGGTGCGCCAGGTCCGTGGCGATCCACAGCTCCAGGAAGCTCTGCGCGACGAAGCCGCAGAAGCGCGCTTGCGGTTCCGTGGCCAGCCCGTAGAGCAGCAGCACCAGCTGCATGCAGCGCGCGCCGAAGAACAGCAGCAGGCGCCCGCCCAGCAGCTGGCCCACGCCGCGCCACAACGCCGCCAGGCTGCGCCACGCGTCCTCGAGTTCCGTCAGCGCCGCCTCGCCGCGCTCTCCGTCCGCTTCTGCACCGCGCCGCCACCCGCGCACACGGAGTATAGAGCCAGAATGTAAGACAATTTTCTAAGGATCATGGGCGCGCGCAGCTTAAAACGACAGGGGGAGGGGACCACATCTCTGGACCACTTTGGGCCACCTTTACCATCCATTTTTTTATTTACATATGGCAATTTTACTAGGAAGTAAATGAAATACAATATAATGTAATTATAACTTAAATGATACAATTAATAAGCACTATTGATATAATGTTGAACAATATACTGAATTGCTAGATATTTCGGAGAGTTTTTCTCCAATAGTTGTGTATCAATTCCTCAAACTGACAGCTTAAAAAGATGAAAATCGGGAATCGATCATATTTACGGATTTTTTTAACGCAGAGCTATGTGCCTTCTTTCGAAATATTCGGGGGGGGGGGGGCTCACTCGGCCCCTCTGTGCGCACACCAGATGGAACTTTGGATGGTATGGACCATTCAAAAATGTTGCTCTTTGAACGTATTCGTAATTCTTACTAACTCTTCTCCTTGAAGTGAACGTTCTATTTCGAACACCCCACGTTCCTGTGAGTTAAATAAACGTAATATCAAGAACAATTTGATTAAATGTAGAGTTTATTTCAGGTCCTTTCCTAAAAATTGAAAACATGACATTTTGTTTTTATTAAATTGAACATTATTTTTGTTTACATTTTCAATTTTTAGTAAACTTTTGTTTCATTTTAAATAAAAACGAACACTGAAAAATAAATTTGAGAGAACATCCAGTTTTATCAACTTCCTTATCTCTCTGGTTTTCGTCACAATTGTGGGTCTTCATTCCCTCAAAACATGAACGTTTTATTTCAAATGCGTAACGAACGTTAACGTTAACGTTAAGGGTGGTTAAGTAATTAACTGTACCCATCTACACAAAAACTTTTACTATATGATCACTGAATTCTTGTCACACAAATTTAATGATAATAATACACAAAAGATAAAAATTTAAATGAGAGTGATCATTGTAGAAGTAATAAGATTCCTAGGACGTAATTTATGGCAATTCATGCTCTTACAAACTGCTTAAGTTTATTATGCAGAAACCAGATACAATTGTTCACGTACACATTCCTGAACTGTTGTATGTTACCATATCGCATGTGCAGAAAAATCAACTTGAAATATAGGACTTGGTGACCCTTCATTTTGGCGTGTTTATCTTTACTTTAATGACCGTCATTCCAGCCACTGAATAATAGTGAAGCAATCTTTTTCGTTTATGTTAAGTTTACGTGTACATTTAATTTTCATTGAGTCTTTACGACAGACGCATCACACAATGATTAGAGAGTTTTATAACCCACATAGAGCATTTTTATCTTGTCCGCGCAGAAATAGGGACTCGATTGGAAGGATCGTAAAGAGTTTCGGCGAAGGTTATTTCCGTGAGGCGTTTGAAATGTTTTATGAATCAAACTTAAGCCTGAACATTATACTCATAAAATTTATTATGGTGATTTGTAATAAATATACAGGGAAATTAACTATTTCTGATTTTCCTTTGAGATAAATCTTGAATTTACAATTTGAACAGTAGGAAACTAAGAGAAAGTTTGAAAATGTCTTGTCTTACCGTCGACTAACGGGGTTTCCCGCAACAAGGTATCTCCCACAGAGGGCACCCTCCCCCATCGGGAGCAATCTCTAAGGGGTCTGCAGGGGTATGTTTCGCCGACCCTCCGGCGACGTGGAACAAAGGGACCACAGCATAGTGGCAAGGCTACCATTTAAAGCTGTGTTCTGCTAGCGGTGGCGCATACGCCTTCGCGTAGCGAGAGTTCTCCGCCGCTTGCCGCAGCAGCGCCCGCCCGCTGCACGTGGGAAGGTCTCCATTCAAACCAATGCTCTGCTATGAGCCGCGGCGCTCGGAAGCACACCGCCGTCGCGACGTGGGAAGGGGCCCTTAGGGTACGGAATTGGTCGAAGAACTACCGATGAGAGCAGCTAGAATTCTTCTCTAGACAGAGACTGAATTCGAGCTTGCTAGTGTCGAAAACCGTGCCACCGTCGTGAGTGGAACCCTGGGACCTGCCGGTCAGAGGTCATTCGGTGCCGTCGGGAGATGCGTCGGGGGAGCGGCGTGCAGCCGAGCGGTGTAAACAATGGTGTAACGGTTAGCATACCGGACTGTTGTACCCAAGTTGGCGGGTTGGCAAACCCGATCAAAGCCGTGGATTTTTAAGGGCGAAAAAATCCTTCGAACGCCTTCCTTCGGAGGGGAAGTAAAGCCGGC